TGGATACGATATAAATAATTTGTCTATATTTGTATGACGTGCTCTTAGAGTGCCCGAGTCTTGAGTTAGTTGATGCCGTTGGACGTAGGTATTATTATTCTTCGTCTTGACGTTATCTAACTATATTTATAATTTTTCGTCATGCGATTGAAATTTAAATAAATGTCTTCCTTTCTCATATATTGTGAAAAATTAGGATAATCCTGTGTGAATAGTTATACAGAGTAAAAAAAAAAAATTAAAAATAGGTGTCCAATTTATGGATCAATCGGTCAATAGGTAACTGTTATAATTATTGAGTGGCATATCTAAGATTTTGTATTGGGGGAGGGGGGAGGATTAAATATGTTTTTGCTTGAAAAATAAGTTTAGATAAGGAGGGTTACAGATCAACCTTAAACTGAAATAATTAAGCAATAGTTATTCAATAATCGGAAACTTTTTTTTTTATACAAATTATCAGTTCAGAAAAACCAGGATTTTATTTTATGCTCTGCGTCAAGTTTTTAAATTGAAGTATTAGTATTTAGCATGCCTATCACCCGTCACCCGCCCATCTTGTAGTTTCGTGTCTATTTTAGCTCATAAATCGTATTATTATTTTATTTTTTTATATTAGACAACTTACAATCAGTATAAAAAATAATACAAAATGATCATATGATAAAATTAGGGCATATAAAATGTATTATAATAATTTGGTTTTTATTTGATGTGGTTCTTACATGAAAAAAAACTGATATTCTTTTTTTTTTGTTTATCATCGGCCTTATGCATGAGCTAATATACGTAGATAAATCAATAGTTCGATAGTTTCCATCGAGTCGTGATCATCACTACCAAGAGCGATTCAAGGGTGACCCGCCCATAGTCCAAACTTTTTCTAAGAAATTGCGAATTTCAAATTCGATTATCATAAGTTTCTATACTTCATATCAGTGGTATATCCAGCATTTCTCAAGTGGGCGGGGGGGGGAGGAATTACATGGTGGGTATTTATATATTAACGTTAATTTATTTAATTTTAATTTTTTGGGAAATTCGGGTACTTAAATTAGTTCCCGAATGAACTATGAAAATAAATCACTTAGGTACTCTATAAAGTAACATACATAGTTATGATATACGGCTATAAGTCTCCACCATTTTAGATTTATGTTAAGAGTATCTATTGTTAATAAATTATTTCAATACGAAATAACCTTGTAAATTAGTTTTACCTTCAACATAAACTTATGAGTGTGTAATTATTTTAGTAATTTTGTCTGCCATGTTTATTAAAATTATTTCACTTGTTACATATTTATAGAAATATTTTCCTTTTTATTTTGTATAAGCCTAACTATGTATTCCACATTATCATTGTAAAAGGTCATTTAATTTATAAAATTAAACAATACAAATATTAATAAATACGGTCAATGAGGCGGGAGGGAGGGGGTTGGCTCTCTGGCTAAGCTACTATTTCACATACTATATAGCAAGTAAAAAAGTAGTCTGCTATTTTTCTCTGTTTTTAGAGTTGTAATGGATTCATGAAGGTACAGTGTTCTTTACCTAGAGTTGGGAATAATAACAGCAAAGAGTATTTAAATACGAGTAGGTATATAGTATAGAAAGGTGTACTATAAATACATTTAAACTTATTTAAAATAGGTACTTATAATACTTAAATAAAAAACAAATATAATATATAATATATACTATTGTATATGTATTTATTAAAGGCAAAGTATTTCGTTGGATTTATTTTTTTTGTTTCTTTAGTCAAATATTATAATAATATAATATTATGATTAAGGGATATAACTTTTCTAGCCGTGTATACTTTTTGTATTAAAATATATATATACCCGCACAAAATAAACATTGTGTAATTCTGGATAAAGAAAAGTTTTAATACTTGTAGGTACCTATTAGTTATACTCGTGTCTTGTAGTTTAATAATATATAATAATGCCAGCTGTACCAACACGGTCACACCCTCAGCCAAATTAAATGTCCTTGGTTGAAATTTCCTTGACTTGAAAAATATCGAGCAGTGTAGTCAATTTTTCGGATCCTTCAGTCGGTATTTCTAGTGAAGGCTACCTATATTGGTTTTACTATGTGTGTTTTTTTTGTCCGTAAATAATTTTTCGAAAAGAAAGCTTGCTTCAATGTACCAAGGGTCGTACCTTTTCTCTGTAGTCTTTTTTATAATTGACCAAAACCGAAAAAAAACGGAGAAAGAATGGGACAATTTACGAAAATAATGTTTCTATTATTTTCAATTTTGTTTTAGATTCCGAGTAAAGCGAGGAATGTATTGGTTTTATAATGATGTTTATTATTTTATTTATTTTTCTGAAGACTACTTTTCTACTATTTTTTTCTTAACTTTTCTACAATTCTACAATTTCTAACAATTTTGATCCGATTTACAATAATAGCACTTTTTCTAAAAATAAATGTGACTTTAGGGAGATACTTTTTAAGGTAATTTTTTGATTTTCCCCAATAAATGGGAAAGAAAATCGTAAAAACCGAGAAAAACGTAGGAAAAACTGGAAAACAGATACAAAACTAAACAAATATTATTAAACAAAAATAATATATAATACATATGTAATTATTTTATTTATAATATGACATATTGTTGACAAAGAAATACTATTAAAACCGAACTCCGCATAGAATCGGTTTTCGTTAGCAATGGTTATTCGTTATGTACAGATATATATTGAATTCATCCTTTACTTTCCCATATGCACGTGCGAAGTATGTTTTGTCTTTTATTTTGTTTTAATTCAGTTAAGCATTTTCTTATTGACTTGAAATTTTGACAATCTTTGGAATTTCTAAACGTGGTAAAATGTTCAAAACATTTAAGCCATTTTTGAACTATTTATAGACCTTTAAATTTTGCGAGTGTTTTACGTAATTTTTATTTGTTAGATCAAACAGAAATTGAAAATTTTTAGTTTAATGCAGTATTTTTTTAAATTTTTTATAAGAATTTTAATATCAAAATCAGTTTTCGTTAGTAATGGTTTATATATCCTTCTAAATCCTACCTTCTCAACTTCACACCTATAACAGTGATCTGTCCGTCGTGCGAAGTATTTTCGTTTTTTTTTTATATATATATAATTAATATGAAAAATTGTTTATACAACAACCTGACATTCTAAGATTTTTTTTTAGTTGGATACTGTGGGGCATTTTAGATCTTTTTTGTTTAGACAAATTCTTAATATTCGGTTTTATAGTATAACCATAGGTTTTAATGCATCATTTGCACAACCTTCCCATGTTATTAATTCATATTGAAAAATTAATTTATATAGTGCACACTGTACACTGTAAGTTCTCTAGGTATGATTTTATTTAGTTTTTGTATTTTAAAAATAATTAATCTTAAAAGCATTACAATGTCAATATTAGGTAATATGTATATTCCAACGTGCGTTCCAGTCAATAATGAAAGAATGAGAGAATAATATACAATTATAGGGCAAAAATTAAAAAATTACCATTATACGAGATATAACGTATAGATAAAACTATTGAAAATTAATTAATATACAAAATATTGAATTTGCTTTCAAGTACTTAGTAACAATAAGTAGAATTTATGTTTTCATTTCAAAATACAAAAATAATGTATTTGCATTAAATTTTATTCGAGAATATTTAGTGATAAAAATTCAATGACCATTAAATAAAAACACGACGATAAAAGTTAATAAGGTGTAACTGTATAAGATTTATCTGCTTCAATGGATAGGTATGCGTATTTCAGTATTTTTGTTTACAACCTACAAAACTATTAAACACACTAGATTAGGCTTGTATTGCTTTTAAAAATCCATTAATTTAAAAACTCTAATGTACCAAAATATTATACGAGTATATGATATGTTATAATGGCCTATTTATATAAGTTGTTTAATAATTGAATAAGGGAAAAATTTGTCAAAGTCAAGGTGTTAAATGTGTTCAATCATGCAAATAAATATGGGTCTAAAGTCTTTATAATGCGTTTCCTTATTAAAAAATATATCTGTCAATTGAGATTTAAACGGGAAATTTTGGTGGGAAACTTTCATTATACGCATGTATGGTACAATACTTTTTTTAAATGCAGTCCTTTTTTTTTCGTACAAATTTGAATAGACATGTTTTATTCAATTTACGTTTTTAATTTTTTTTTTTTTTAAAAACTCAAAATGTATAGTAATTTAAAATTTAAAAAAATTAAATTTCATTATTTTTCTCGTAAATTTTTACTCGTTCGTATAGCTAGTCAATTTTTCAATGTTTTTGATAATTTTCGGTTTATTTTAAATCTGATAATCATACAATTTTGAATGTTTGAATTTGTTACCTTATTATTTTAACCTCAATTATATTGAATCACGTTTATTGTGTTTTTATCACGAATCCTTAATCATCGTGGTTTTTATTCTATACATAATGTGATACACAACTTAACGCGTGAAATTTTTTATTATATAAGAGAATAGAAACAATAAATCTATATTTTATACCTACAGCGATTATTTTTTTAAAATAGGTTTTATTTAATCCGACGGTGTTCTTAAGGTTGGTCTTTATTGTCGAAAATCATTGAAATTTAACATTTTTCCGATAGTTTATTAATTTTGTTAAAATGTCAATGTTCCAATAATATTATGTTCAATAGCGCTAATCTTAGAGTTTTACTGGGGTAAATCCCCTAGCACTTTTTAGCGGTGGATGAGTGAGTTAGAATAAGTGCTTGAATTTTTGAACGTATTTTGTATATGTATTTCAATATTGAAAAAAGTTAACTATTTGTATATTTTAGTGGCTGAGTATGTGTAATTAGATTGAATTATATTTTACTTCAGGAGTTTGAGTAAAGATGGGCACCAAATTTACGCAACACAATTAGTATTAATAATAAATATAATATCATATAACTTATACAGAAAGATGTGTTATATTGCATAATCTTCTTCTTGTCGTATCGATCTTCATATTCCCTTCCCTTCCCAGTAAGCAGCAATTTGTATTGCCTTGTCTGAAATTTCATGTGTCAAAAATTCTTCCTTGCTACACTCAATCGGTAGTAGTGGGCATGCAAACAAATGGTCTACATCCTGCTCCCCACCACATTCGTATTTTCCATCCTCTTTTATCCCCCATTTTTCCATATTACTCGCTGTCCTTCCAGTTTCGGTTCTTAACCTATTTAGCGTCTTCCATATTGACCATGGTAGATGACTTCCGGGTGGTAATCTTTCCTTTGGATCCTTTGAATCCTTTGGATTGAATATTGCATAATGCCTCAATGATATTCAATTTGTATATTATTATACGGGAGTACAATATTTAAATTTTAATATATATACGTATAATAACTGCAAAATCCTAAGTTTATGTTTAATAATAATTTACGAAATCGAATTTTTAATTATAAATGCAGAAGATTTGTGATATTTTAGAATTTTAGGCTATTCACAAAAAAAAAAAAAAATTGTATTTTTTATGCGTAGGTATTCGTATTCTTAAATTCAAAAACTTGTCTTTCTAATAATAAATATTATTTAAAGTAAAAAATATGTCCAATGGAATTACCCGTATCACAATAGTATGGGACATATATGGCTTTAAAACTTTTGACGTTTACTAGAAATAAGAATGACTTGAACGCTTTTTCTTATGACAGGTTTTCTTAAAGTTAATGTAGTTGAAATAGTCATCGTAAATTGTTTATTCAGCTACCGAGTACTTTACGAATTCTATGTCTATTGTCTATGTAATTTAAAATATGAAAATTGTTACTGTGGGTAAGATGCAATGCAACAAGATAAAGATTACTGCATTATGCTCGACTTTTTTATTCGACCATGTAGCTCGTACAATTTATGATAAACTTCGTGTTAAAATTGTCGAACATTTTTTGCTGAGTCATAACTATTCGATTCACACGAAACCAAATTCAAAATGGAAAAAATCTAACTACATTGATATTTACAATTGATTATTTTACAATGTTTTCCCTTGAATTCACAACCCGTATGGAATACTTGTAAATCGACAGCAATTTTGGCATGTATGAAAATGATTATGTATTTTACTCGTTTTATTATTATTCTCGCCATAAAGTAGTATAAAATATAGATAGCAGATTAATATTAAAATGCATATAATATTATGTTTTTAAAGCATTTTAAGTAGATAGGTATGTATAATAAGTTATTTCGCGTGTTATTAATATAATAACACGCGAATATTATTAATGGAGACGATATTATGAAAACAACCGACCGTGAGACAATAGAATACTATTATAATTTATAACTAATATATTTCGTGTTTAAAATTGTGTTTGTTTAATTATTAATGATAACGCACACCACAGCTGTTATTTTAGGTACTTTGATGACTAGAATTCAAAAGAATAAATATTTACAATTTTTTTTTAAAATCGTGAAAACGTGGGTACTTACTATGATATCGATATTTAGGTAATATAATATTTTAATAAATAATAAAATAATAAAGTAAATTATTATACATACGGTGGTAATAATTAAAGTTAGGCAGGTGATATTATCACAATTATTTATTCAGATTAATATCATAATTACCGGAGTCGGTAATAATGTATAGGCAAAATGATTTACACCACGCACAGGTATATTATACTATATTGATTCATCACATGAAATTTCCATTATCGGCTGTCCCGTGATACATACATAAAATATAATATTCTAGGTGTATTATAGTGTATACTGCGTATTGATAGTCAAATTAAATTGCATTTTTTTGTAGTTTGGTCGGGCGCTCAGGTACTTGTACACGAGTTTCCATCGCCTTCCCTCCCCGTAGTTAACGCGTATTCCCGTGTTTTCCCGTGGCTATTCCCGTTTCCATCGCTGTCACAGTTGGCCGTTGTTGCCTGACAATTTCTTTTTTAAAACGGTACTACAGTTTTGCTCGTTATACCGCTTCAGTTCATCATGTATTAGTAATACGAGCAGGCGGATCAAATTGGTAGATAAGGTTTGATGGCGTATGACGTATTACAGTGGCAGTATAACGTCATCAATGATATTTAATTGACGTTTAATCAATGACGTCATATTGCCATAAATAATAGTTATAACTGTAAAGGATATTGGTGATGGTTTTTCAAATCGCCCCTTATTTTCTCTGATTAAATTCGAGTGAATGAACCTACTCGATAATACGATTTGTTCACTAATTTCTTGCTCGATACCGCATTAATGGGGAAGGAGTATGGCCGTTTTTACGGAATGAATGATAATACATTTTATACCGAAAAGCCTGATAAAACTGTAGAAATTGTGTTTAACGGATTTTAATTTTGAAAAGCATTTTGACTTTTAGTCCTTTACTTGAACACGCCGGAGTTATTATTAATACATGAAATATCTTTATCATACGTGAATGGCAAAATACATGTTTGAAGATTTGTTTAAAATTTCTAGTAAAATAATTAAATATCTATTTTCATAGGTACATATCCCAGTGAAGAACCTAAATAATCATAATCCGCTTTTAAATTTGAAATCCGTCAAATATTATTATAGCATAATAAAACTTCGATACGATTGCTAGTTATCTCTACCTATATAATTATTTTATGTTTATGGGGCAATGGTTACAAGTTTTATTTTTAACTTATAGAGTGTGCCATGAAGATATACTTATTGCAATATCTATACTGAGATAACAAAGATAATCAAATTCTGTTTATTTTATATTCTTCACGTGAATTAGGACTAACAATGTTTATATTTAAATTAAAGTTGTATGTTTTGGTAAAATAATAACTTTGTATATTATTATTTTCGAAAAATGTGAAGATTTTATTGAGTTTATTCTTTTGAAAATACTGACGTTTCAACTTTTAATTTTCATTAAATTCGTAATTTTCAATAATTTTTTAAAGGTCTGCAGAGAAAAAAAGTTTCGATTAGGCATCTACCTAATCGAAATGCATAATAATAATGCTGTAATCGCATTTGCTAATTAACTATTATTATTATTATCTAAGTAATGTACTGTAGACTTATTTCTCTGAACTTTAACAAATTACTAAAAATCATGAATTTAATGAAAATAAAAATTCTCTACGTCAAAATTTTGAGAAGAAACTCCATAAAATGCCCATCTTCAAATTTTCGAAAATAATACACTAAAAAGTAAGTTATAAAAATTTTTTTACCAAAACATAATAATTTAATTAAAATATAAATATTTGTAGTCCTTATCCTTGTAGTAAAAAAAAAAAAAAAACAGAATTTGATTATCTTTATTATTTCTGGAGATATTACAATGAGAAGGTATAATATCTTATCATTGGACACTGAATATTGGCGATTGTTCAATTTCGGTACGGGCTCTGGTGGTTTTTTTTTTTTTAATTTCTAAAAAGTGTTAATCATTAAGGGTGTTTACTTCGTTTGAAGATAAACCACTGTTCGGATGGTCTAATACTCGAATTTTTTTTAATAAATTGATAAACGATAGCAAAAAAAAAAAAAAAAATAAAAATAAAAATGCAGGTTATTAAATTTTTCAATAAACAAATTTAGACACCCACCCTCCTACGTCCAAAATTTGTTCATTCGAAATCAGTTACGGTTCGCTTGTTGTGGTTGCCTAGGTATTATTGGGATCGGTAAATACATACGAGTTAATAATTTATAATCACGAGCCACTGTGCGAAGGTGTTTTATTAATATTGTGGAGTGTTTTAGTATTTTAATGTATATGCTCAATAATACATAGATATTATAAAGTATTACAATATTACAATATTACAATATTTTTTATAACCGACGAAACCCGTATATTATGTCGTCTATCGTATTGACATCGATATTTTCATGTGTCCGATAGAATATGTTTACATTATTGTAAAATTTAATGAACATAATATTTTTATTACGGACATTCAGAACATTAATTGACAGTTCGGGAAATGTACAAATATTTTGGGTATAATTAAATAAAATATAATTTATGCTAAAAAACCGTAATAACTTTATCATTACTCTTATATTTCGTTATTTATATTATCGGTGTACCGTGCATTTTGTATTATTAAATTATAAATACAATTTTTTTTATGATAACTTTTGAATTCAATTGTTTAATGTTTTTTTTTTATTAAATTGTGTATTATGTTAACTGCTTATGTCGACACAACTATTTCACAATAATATATAATAATAATACGATATTATTATTTAAAGTTTAAAATTAATAAAGACAGAAAAGTATGTAGCGTAACATATTTATATTTTGTTCTTGCTGTTTCAATTTCATTTATAGTTTTTCGGAAGATTTGTTACGGATGGATAACTTCTTCACTCAATCGATTCTTTAAATTATATTATTATACTTTAATATTATTCCAATTTTACATATTTTAAATACATAATACCGAAGATTATAAGATTATAAGATTTAATTTTAATTTAAATATTTTAGATTTAACTATTTTAAATTCGGGGCTTGAAATCGTTATCGAATACCGGTTAATACTGGTTTAGTAGCAAAGTCGAAATAAATCAAAATTATTAACGAACAAACTAAAAACCGGTATTATTAATCATAACGGTAAACGAAAAAAACCATAAACAAAATCAAAAATAAAGTAGAATTTTTTGGTATTCAAGCCTTATTGGTTATAATTTACCTACCAAATATTATGATTTTTCCTATTTTATTGGTGATTTATTTTCCCACCTGGAAATACTCTTCTCAGAGTCGTTTTTCGTTATCAGTGATTTATCGTTGCGTACGAATACAAATTGAATTACTAGCGATCGACGACTTAGCCGATCCATCCTACCACGACTGCCAATTCACACTAGGTGTAGCGTTAACGGCTAGATTTCCCAGTAGCAGTGGTTTAAAAAAGCGACACACCCATCATTAGCATTATAAGCTCTTTTTTCGATAGTTTAGACGGAGTTTTCAGAAAAATAGAAGAAAACAGAAAAAAATGACCATTTTGAGTACATTCCCGTATTCAACTTTAGTACTAGGTATACCAATGTTCATCGGTATTAGATTTCCGGGGCGATTGTAGGCGTTTATAAAGGGATCCATTGTTTAGTATTCGGAGAGAAAATATTGTCGTCCGATCGAGTATTATAATATTATGTATGGGAATCCCCTCGCCGTTTTATGTTGCCCCAAAAACCCGGTATTACATTATACGCGGTATCCGCTCACCATACCCCGTATATAATAGTATATGTACACGTTTCATAATAATATATATCTACCTACCTACTGTGGTCCACCGACGTAGGTTTTATTTTATCAATATAATAAAAGGATCAGTGTGATGTAGTTATACGTAATACAACGTGGAAAACGAGCACTTTTAAAACTAAACGTGAGATTCTGCGCACATGTATGGCTATTCGGTATCTTTTTTTTTTTCGGTTAGGACCTATTCATGCGCGAGTATTATAAAGGTTAAAACCCGGTCCATAGAAACGGGCGGGAATAATTATTGTGAACGTTTGAAATGAAAGAATTCAGTATAAAAGCATACGGTATCTTAGAAATTACGATTTTCGCGGATCATCATTTAAATCTCATACAATGTATTACGATACGTCTTGGCTATTGCTGTAAGTAGGTGTAATTATTTTTATTTATACCGAGTGTTTTGAAAAAAAAAAAAAACAAAAATAAAACCGTAGTC